TGATTTTAATGACTGAGGACTGCTATAACCCCGATTATTTTTCTTCCTTGGACAAAGAGGAATGTGTATTTTCCTGTATATCAGGGGCTCTCATAGATACATCGTGCTTCGAAACTGTGATTCTTTTTACAACTTTCCAAGATGCTCTGTAGATTTCTGGGATTGAGGACTCATGTAACCCAGATTCTTATTCTTTCTTAGCAATAGGTCATGTAGTTGCCTGTAAATAAGGACTCCATTTTCCAGATTCATGCTCGAAAACACCATGATTCGTGTTTAACCCATAGCAAGATGACCTTAAATTTTTTGGGGATTGAGGAGCCGAGTAAGACAGATTCCTTATTCTTACTAAGCAATAGGCAGTGAAGTTTCCTGTATGTGAGGACTCCCATTATCCAGATTCCTACTTGAAAAATATGATTAGTGGTTACGCTTATGAAGACGGGCTGTCGTTTTGGGACTGAGGACTCATATAAGAAAGATTCGTTACACACACACACACACACACACACACACACACACACACACACACACACACACAGTCAAGCACCACCTAATGATGTTTCAGAATGCATATATGATGGTGCCCCCATAAGATTTTAATACTATATTTTAACTGTACCATTTCTGTTTTAATATGTGTAGATCCACAAATCTTTGCCATTGTATTGCAGTTGCCTGCTAAATGCAGCTCAGTCACATGCTGTACGGGTGTGTAAGCTAGGAGTAATGGGCTACACCATATAGCCTAGTTGTAGAGTAAGCTAAACCCACTCAGGTTTGTGTAAGTATACTCTAGGATGTTTGTACAACAACAAAATTGCCGAAGGATGCATTTATCAGAACATATCCCCATCATTAAGTGATGCATTTTCATATATAGTGGTGTTCAAGCTGATGGGTATTCACTTCCCTCGGTATGTTTCTTTCCACCTCTGTATCTGTTAACACCCTGACTTCATTTTCACAACGCTCCTTAACCATAGCTCCCAGCAGATCTCACAGAAGTTCCAGCAACCCTGTAGCCCACTGAGGGCAGAGCTTGGTAACCTTAGTTGTGGATTACAGGTAAGAGAATCTACAGTAGGTCCTTCTTGAACCTTTACTGAAATCACTCACTACATCCACTTGCCTTGGGATCTACTTTTGCCATTAACCTGCGGGGTGAAAATAATCCATGTATTACCCTCTAGGTCTCTGTTTCCTCAAATATAAATTGGGGACAGTAAAGCCCACCACATTCAATTGTCCACAATTATAAAAATTATGCACAGTAAGAGGCATTACATCAATAGCAGCAACCATTTATTTTTTATAAAATACTCCTCATACCACCCTGTCTTCCTACCCCTTTCTCTTCCACCCACAACAAAACCTACCTGTCCACAGCTCCAGCATGTAGGTCCTACTCCCTCACTTTCAAGATGCATATCCATTTTCTAATTTAAGTTAATGATGAACAAAAATGCCTTTCCCACCAAAAGGCATTTGGTTTTTAGCAGCAGTCTCCTAGAGACTGGGTCCCCTAATTAAAGATTGAGTCCCTCATGGTGGGGCTCTTAGCCATGGCCATCAAGCTGTTAAAGACACAGTCTGAGGAATTCCAATTCCATTTCAGGCCCTCTGTACACTTTGAAGGCAAAACATACTATACAAAAAAATTAAAGCAAAGAGTTATACAGTCCATGAGATATTATAGGGCAAGATTGGCAAATAGGTTTCACCTTGCAGGTCAACTATAATGGATTAGCAGTGGCTGCCTGAAGTCCTCCATTGAGAAAGATCCTGTAGCCACCTGGCTTCTGCAGTAAGGCTATCTACTTGGGTCTACTGATCAAGGCCTTGGAAAGAACAGAAACTCTACAAGTAATGCATGGGTTGTCACAGTTAGGGGCTATTCCAATGTTTTATGGAATTAACAACAAAGAAACTGGCACAAGTGACCATGCACAATTTCAGATAAGCGGGAAATCATTGGAGTATACACCAGATTGCAAAGTGCTTGAGTTAGTACTTGCAGGTTGTATAGAATATGGATAAAATAATAACAATAATGAAAAGTCTCCTGCTGAAGGGACCAAGTAAAGCAAACTGGGGAGGAAAAAGTGAGAAGTCTCATTTGACTGAAGTAGAATTTTGCAAAAGATAAAGGTGCACCTAGCACACAGACCAGCTTTAGGTTAAACTGGGTACTTTTGAAACTTCTGTATATATATATTTTTTAATTTGCATTTTAAAAGCTATTTGTGACCATAGCATCTCTAAAACAACTAAAATTTTTTTTTTAAAGCAAGGAACATACCAACACTAAAGTTTCTCTTGGCTCTAGGACATAGTTTAGAACGATGCATCCCAGGATTCCCACTGACTCACTGAAGGGACAGGCTCAGACTCAGTCCTTGGAGACTTAGGCAGGAGCTTTGCAAGGAAAGCAACAGGGACAAATACTCAGAAACAGAAACTGCTTCGTGGAATTTATTTCTGGGTTTACCTGAAAGTGGAGTAGACAATCATCCAAGACAGAGATGGGAGATGTCGTGTTTTTACCACTGAGTCTTTGCAGCTGCTTGGAGCATGGATACCCTATATCGTTCCATATCCTGCTTGGCCCTGCACACCTGGCCCAGCACAGAAACATGTCTCACCTGATTCTGGCCCACAAGACAGGAACCTGTTCCCCTCCCAGCACTCTCTCTGCTCCTTCCCTATAGATACCCACCTCCTCCCATTCCCCATGGATGTGGTACACATTTCCATCCTTTCAACACACCCCCTTGCTTTTCCCTACACCTGGTTCTTCCTGCCTTTGCCCTTCTGTTACAAAGCACCACTCCCATGAGGGAAGAGACTTGCTCTCCTGCTTCTTTGCTCCCCTCCTGGCCCTCACACCCAGAGCCTGTCTAGAAAGCTCCTCCATTCCCATACCTCATCCAGGACCAACTCTAGCTGATCGGGATATTGTTCTTATTTATGGTTTGAAACTACAGTTTCCTTTCTCTGATCTGCTTTAGAGGCTGCTTCTGAAAATATGATGTCTCCACTTCCTCCACTTGAATGAAACAAAAGGGGTGTGCCCATAGTGTATCAGGAGGGTCGGTGGGAAAGAGCTCATTAATGTTCTCCTTTTCTCAGAGGTGAGTGTCTGGGTGCCCACTGTGCCTGCAGCCTAAATACACTCCTCTGATTGCTGAGAAAACCATGGTTATCTCTGCAGGATGAGAGTGGAAAATGGCGTCAACAACCACCTGTGAGTCATGGTCAGAAGCTCCTTCTGCGGAAATGGAGCCCAGTCATGTATGTTTCCTGGAGGAGACAGGTGCTGCTCTGTGTTCACCTGTAGTCCATTGTAAAATGGCTGTCACCCACTTCCCTCAGGTGAGTTCCTGCTGTGT